GCACCACCAGCAGTGTAGCGAGCTATTTCAACCCCGTTCCTGTAGTACCAGAGTGCCTGCCCAGCATTCAGAGTGAGAACAATAGCATTTGTTCTTTTTCCCTTCCCAGCCTACCGGAGAAAAGGCCTATAGATTTCTTCTGTGCTTGCTTTTCGACTCGTGAAAGGGCGTGGGTGCACCACGGCTAGTGGCTGGGGGCGGGGGGGGGGGGTGGTGGGGGGGGGGGGGGGGGGGGGGAGGAGGGTGCATTTCCCATCCCAGCACCACTAGAGCTGCACATGGCAATGAAACCTCCCTGTTCACACCAGGCCTTAAATTCCCATCAGGTATTTCCCAGAAGCCCTGTGCACCCCCAGCATGCTCTGAACGCTCCAAGGGGACTGCGTGCCTGGCCTGAGCCCCCTCCAGACGGCAGCCCTGGCTCAGAGCCCTGGTGTGCCCGGGCTGGGCTGGGCTGACAGGCAGGCAGGGGCTGACGACCCGTCTCTTCAGCTACTTTGACAATCAAGTTTTGTAGGTGGAGACAGTTTTGCCATCTGCCTGAGGCCATGCTACTGAGGGGCCCTTGGGTTTGGGAACCAGACAGCAAAGCTGTGACTGATACTTTGGGGAAAAGCCAGGGACAGGTCACAGGCAAGAAACAAAAAGTCCCGGCCTGTGACCTGTCCGTGAGTTCTACTAAAACACTGGTGATTAACTCGGAGTAGGGGGTGCCCAGATGATTAACTCGGAGTGGGGGGTGCCCAGGGCCAGTGGCACCCTGTTGCACGGGCCTTGGACTGGCTGTTCTGGTTGGCTGCCCAGGGACTGTTGCTGGATTCTGTACATGACCAAAGCTACCGTGCACACAGCAATTTGTATAGAAGTGTGCAGCATCTGTAAGCACCTACATAACGTATCACAGACCCACCGAAAGTCTCTGCGAAGAGAAGGAGTCTCCCAGTGCACCGCTGTGCTGAAAAGCCCTGAGGCTCCGCGAGCCTTACTCTCTGTCGGGCAGGATGTGTTAGGTGTTCTGCAGGAAACTGCAGATTGCACAATAAAGACTCTTTATCCAGTGTGATCAGCTTTCTGAAGGACAGTTAGTCTAGGGAAACGGGCTTGTTCTTCAAGTGCTTATCTGCAGTGATTCCATGCTAATTATTACACCCTGCACCATCGTGTGCTGCCACCAGTGTGGGCTCACCATTGTGCGCAAATCATCGTGCACTGCCACCAGTGTGGGCTCACCATCGTGCACTGCCACCAGTGTGAGCTCACCATCATGGGCTCACCATCGTGCACTGCCACCAGTGTGAGCTCACCATCATGGGCTCACCATCGTGCACTGCCACCAGTGTGAGCTCACCATCATGGGCTCACCATCGTGCACTGCCACCAGTGTGAGCTCACCATCATGGGCTCACCATCGTGCACTGCCACCAGTGTGAGCTCACCATCATGGGCTCACCATCGTGCACTGCCACCAGTGTGAGCTCACCATCATGGGCTCACCATCGTGCACTGCCACCAGTGTGAGCTCACCATCATGGGCTCACCATCGTGCACTGCCACCAGTGTGAGCTCACCATCATGGGCTCACCATCGTGCACTGCCACCAGTGTGAGCTCACCATCATGGGCTCACCATCGTGCACTGCCACCAGTGTGAGCTCACCATCATGGGCTCACCATCGTGCACTGCCACCAGTGTGAGCTCACCATCATGGGCTCACCATCGTGCACTGCCACCAGTGTGGGCTCACCATCATGGGCTCACCATCGTGCACTGCCACCAGTGTGGGCTCACCATCATGGGCTCACCATCGTGCACTGCCACCAGTGTGGGCTCACCATCATGGGCTCACCATCGTGCACTGCCACCAGTGTGGGCTCACCATCATGGGCTCACCATCGTGCACTGCCACCAGTGTGGGCTCACCATCATGGGCTCACCATCGTGCACTGCCACCAGTGTGGGCTCACCATCATGGGCTCACCATCGTGCACTGCCACCAGTGTGGGCTCACCATCATGGGCTCACCATCGTGCACTGCCACCAGTGTGGGCTCACCATCATGGGCTCACCATCGTGCACTGCCACCAGTGTGGGCTCACCATCATGGGCTCACCATCGTGCACTGCCACCAGTGTGGGCTCACCATCATGGGCTCACCATCGTGCACTGCCACCAGTGTGGGCTCACCATCATGGGCTCACCATCGTGCACTGCCACCAGTGTGGGCTCACCATCATGGGCTCACCATCGTGCACTGCCACCAGTGTGGGCTCACCATCATGGGCTCACCATCGTGCACTGCCACCAGTGTGGGCTCACCATCATGGGCTCACCATCGTGCACTGCCACCAGTGTGGGCTCACCATCATGGGCTCACCATCGTGCACTGCCACCAGTGTGGGCTCACCATCATGGGCTCACCATCGTGCACTGCCACCAGTGTGAGCTCACCATCATGGGCTCACCATCGTGCACTGCCACCAGTGTGAGCTCACCATCATGGGCTCACCATCGTGCACTGCCACCAGTGTGAGCTCACCATCATGGGCTCACCATCGTGCACTGCCACCAGTGTGAGCTCACCATCATGGGCTCACCATCGTGCACTGCCACCAGTGTGAGCTCACCATCATGGGCTCACCATCGTGCACTGCCACCAGTGTGAGCTCACCATCATGGGCTCACCATCGTGCACTGCCACCAGTGTGAGCTCACCATCATGGGCTCACCATCGTGCACTGCCACCAGTGTGAGCTCACCATCATGGGCTCACCATCGTGCACTGCCACCAGTGTGAGCTCACCATCATGGGCTCACCATCGTGCACTGCCACCAGTGTGAGCTCACCATCATGGGCTCACCATCGTGCACTGCCACCAGTGTGAGCTCACCATCATGGGCTCACCATCGTGCACTGCCACCAGTGTGAGCTCACCATCATGGGCTCACCATCGTGCACTGCCACCAGTGTGAGCTCACCATCATGGGCTCACCATCGTGCACTGCCACCAGTGTGAGCTCACCATCATGGGCTCACCATCGTGCACTGCCACCAGTGTGAGCTCACCATCATGGGCTCACCATCGTGCACTGCCACCAGTGTGAGCTCACCATCATGGGCTCACCATCGTGCACTGCCACCAGTGTGAGCTCACCATCATGGGCTCACCATCGTGCACTGCCACCAGTGTGAGCTCACCATCATGGGCTCACCATCGTGCACTGCCACCAGTGTGAGCTCACCATCATGGGCTCACCATCGTGCACTGCCACCAGTGTGAGCTCACCATCATGGGCTCACCATCGTGCACTGCCACCAGTGTGAGCTCACCATCATGGGCTCACCATCGTGCACTGCCACCAGTGTGAGCTCACCATCATGGGCTCACCATCGTGCACTGCCACCAGTGTGAGCTCACCATCATGGGCTCACCATCGTGCACTGCCACCAGTGTGAGCTCACCATCATGGGCTCACCATCGTGCACTGCCACCAGTGTGAGCTCACCATCATGGGCTCACCATCGTGCACTGCCACCAGTGTGAGCTCACCATCATGGGCTCACCATCGTGCACTGCCACCAGTGTGAGCTCACCATCATGGGCTCACCATCGTGCACTGCCACCAGTGTGAGCTCACCATCATGGGCTCACCATCGTGCACTGCCACCAGTGTGAGCTCACCATCATGGGCTCACCATCGTGCACTGCCACCAGTGTGAGCTCACCATCATGGGCTCACCATCGTGCACTGCCACCAGTGTGAGCTCACCATCATGGGCTCACCATCGTGCACTGCCACCAGTGTGAGCTCACCATCATGGGCTCACCATCGTGCACTGCCACCAGTGTGAGCTCACCATCATGGGCTCACCATCGTGCACTGCCACCAGTGTGAGCTCACCATCATGGGCTCACCATCGTGCACTGCCACCAGTGTGAGCTCACCATCATGGGCTCACCATCGTGCACTGCCACCAGTGTGAGCTCACCATCATGGGCTCACCATCGTGCACTGCCACCAGTGTGAGCTCACCATCATGGGCTCACCATCGTGCACTGCCACCAGTGTGAGCTCACCATCATGGGCTCACCATCGTGCACTGCCACCAGTGTGAGCTCACCATCATGGGCTCACCATCGTGCACTGCCACCAGTGTGAGCTCACCATCATGGGCTCACCATCGTGCACTGCCACCAGTGTGAGCTCACCATCATGGGCTCACCATCGTGCACTGCCACCAGTGTGAGCTCACCATCATGGGCTCACCATCGTGCACTGCCACCAGTGTGAGCTCACCATCATGGGCTCACCATCGTGCACTGCCACCAGTGTGAGCTCACCATCATGGGCTCACCATCGTGCACTGCCACCAGTGTGAGCTCACCATCATGGGCTCACCATCGTGCACTGCCACCAGTGTGAGCTCACCATCATGGGCTCACCATCGTGCACTGCCACCAGTGTGAGCTCACCATCATGGGCTCACCATCGTGCACTGCCACCAGTGTGAGCTCATCCGGTGGGGCATGGAGGGGCCGGGCCTTGCGAGTGGAGCGAAGGAGGCTGGGCCCTGAGCCCAGCTCTGCCTCCTGCACAACTAGCCCGGGTGGGAGTGGCGGGGTCGGCGGGGCAGCGCGCGGAAGAGGCCCCCCATGCAGTCACCCCTCACCCCAGCAGCACCTGCAGCCTTTACACATGGGCAGTCCAAGCAGGGGAGGGGGAATGCCGTAGCTAGGGGCGGTGCTGGACTATGTCTGCCTGGGGGTCTGCTTCAGCCCCCTCCCTCCTTCCCTGCCTTGGGTGTTCCCCTGCTGCTTGGATTCCTTCTCTCCTGGCCATGCTGTGCTGCCACCCGCTCCTCTCCTCCTTGGACAGGCTGGGCCCCCAGCCCCTTGTGTCCTGGCTATTCCTCTCCCCCGGCTGGGACCACTAGACACCGTGCCCCCGGTCTGCTGCGTCGCCAGCTTGCAGACTCCCCGCCAGCTAGCCTGCTCCAGCTGCGTTTGGACTTGTCTGTCAGTGAGTCTCACGCTCGCTGCAGCTCCTAGAGGCCGAAGTCCCACGCAGACACCTCACGAGAGGCCTTTCCCAGCCAGGGTTCAGTGGGGATTGGGGGAGAGATGCAGGATTGGCCCTTTTCTACAGACGGGGGCCCGAGACTCTGGCTAGAGCAGTGCTTCTCACACGTTTGGGTGGAGGCTGGCAGCGCGTGACTTCCCTAGTAACCTCGGGACCCCCGATGGGTCCCAGCCCCCAGTGTAAGAACAGCTGCCCTAGACTAAGCGACCAGCCAAGCCGAGCACGAGGCCACAGTCCAGGGCCTTATCCATCAGACAGCTGCTGGGAGCCCTGTCACGGACAGCACCACTCTGGGTGTGTTGGGAACTTCCGGGGGTGCACGCTGACACCCGGGCTCTGCGTTCAGCCTCTCTGAGGGACAGGCAGGGTGTTAACCCGGGTCGCTTTGCCCTTGTCTGTTTGCAGTGACGCTGTACGGCGTGTTCACCAACCCCTTCGCGGCCAACGGCCCGTCTCGCTGCCTCCTGCTGGAGCTGCTGGACGTCAGTGTGTCCGAGCTGCTGTTCTACTCCAGCCAGCAGGGCTGCTCCATGTGGATGATCCAGCACTGTGCCCGCGATGCGCTCGAGGCCCTGTCTTTCCTGCACCACAAAGGCTATGTGCATGCAGACCTCAAGCCACGCAACATCCTGTGGAGCGCGGAGGAGGAGTGCTTTAAACTCATTGACTTTGGGCTCAGCTTCAAAGAGGGGAATCAGGTTTGGACGCTGCTTGTAGGAGCCCTCAAGTCTGTTGTGTGTCACTGTGCTCTCAGCAGCCACCTGGATTTGCTTGGCTGGGAGCAGTGAGGGGCTGGTGACTCTTCAGTTGCCAGTTTCCAGGAGTCACTATCCAGCCAGTGGTCCAGCTGGGTAGGAATGTGGGGATTGCAGGCCCAGAGGGAAGTGCAGCTAGGAAGTGCTCTGCTCCTAGGATCGGTGTTTCCCTGAGCCCTGGATGGGAGTTTGCATCTCCTCAAACAGGATGCAGATGCTCCCATTATCTGTGTAAATGTCTAATCCATCTCTGGATTCCTACCGACATCTTAGTGGCTGTGTCTTCCTCGGGGCTTACTTGCCCTTTCTAAATGTGGTGCCTTTCAATTCCACAGACGGTCCCCTGCTCTTGTATTGTGCAAGAGCGTAAATGGGCACACATGCCACAGGGTCCCCTCTCGCATTCCTGATGCTGTATGCCACCATTGCCCCATGCCTGTGGGGATCTCACTGGCGCTCGCTTTTCACCCATCTTTTCATCACTTTTCCTGCCTGTCCCATCCAAGGTAGGATGGTGCTATTCAGTTCTCCTATCGTTCCCATTGATCAGCCTGTCACTGAGCCCCAGTTCCTTTGCCCTGTGACTCGACGCCCCCTTCTCCCCTTCCCCCGGTGTGTGGACAGGCCCCACTGAGCACTACCTCACGTTATCACCACTGACTTGCCTCTGTTGCTAGGCAGCCTCCATTCATCCAGCTCGGTTAGGCCCCTCTCTGGAACTTCAGCCTGTCCTTGTCTCAGACAGTGTAAACCGTGTTGTCTTCTAAACCTCGCCATCCTTCTGGGCAGCCCCTTTTCTGGGTCACTCCTGTGCTAACCAGCCCCAGTGCTCCTGAGGAGCCATAGGACCCCTCGCTGTGAACACACAACACTGATTTACCCCACACCCAGAGTCCCTTCATTTCCTTACTCGCTTGCTAGGAGGGATCTACCAGAGTGGCTTTGAAGTAGGAATAAGAGATCCTCCGGAAAAGGGCTTTTTTCAGGAGGATTGGGGCCAGTGTAGACGCTCTTTTCCGGCTTTTCTAAAAGCCGGAAAAAAGCGGCGGACATTTGTATTTAAATGCCGCGGGGGATATTTAAATCCCCCGCGGATTTCCCTATTACGACCTGTAAAATTAGCATGCCCCTTTCGGAAAAGGGGCCAGTGTAGATGTAGCCTCACAGTCTTTGTTTAATCCTGAGCTGATGGTGTCAAATTTGCAGATGAACTGCAGCTCAGCAGTTTCTCTCTGAAGTCAGGTCCTGAAGTCTTTTTTTTCTGCAGGATGGCTACCTTTAAATCTGCTATTGTGTCCAGGGAGATTGAAGTGTTCTACAGGTTTTTGTATATTGCCATTTCTGATATCTGATGTGTCCAGTTATTCTTTTGCGTAGGGACTGTCCGGTTTGGCCAATGTACATGGCCGAGGGGCATTGCTGGCTCATGATGGCGTATATTACATTGGTAGATGTGCAGGTGAATGAGCCAGTGATATGTGGCTGATCTGGTTAGGTCCTGTGATGGTGTCGCTGGTGTAGATATGTGGGCAGAGTTGGCACCGAGGTTTGTTGCAGGGATTGGTTTTTGAGTTAGAGAAACTGTGGTGCGATGTAGAGTTGCTGGTGAGAATTTGCTTCACGTTGGCGGGTTGTCTGTGGGCGAGGACTGGCCTGCCTCCCAAGGCCTGTGAAAGTGAGGGATCGTTGTCTAGGATGGGTTGTAGATCACTGATGATGCGTGGGAGAGGTTTTAGCTGAGGACTGTAGGTGATGGCCAGTGGTGTTCTCTTGGTTTCTTTTTTGGGCTCGTCCTGCAGCAGGAGGCTTCTGGGTACATGTCTGGCTCTGTTGATCTGTTTCCTTACTTCCTCTTGTGGGTATTGTAGTTTTCAACAAGCATTCTGTAGGTCTTGTAGGTGTTGGTCTCTGAGGGGTTGGAGCAAATGCGGTTGTACCTCAGTGCTTGGCTGTAGACAATGGATCGTGTGGTGTGTCTGGGATGGAAGCTGGAGGCATGAAGGTAGGCATAGCGGTCGGTAGGTTTTCGGTATAGAGTGGTGTTTGTGACCATCACTTACTTGTACCGTGATATCCAGGAAGTGGACCTCCCATGTAGACTGGTCCAGGCTGAGGTTGAGGGTGGGGTGGAAGCTGTTGAAATTGTGGTAGAATTCTTCCAGAGTTTCCTTCCCATGGGTCCAGATGATGAAGATGTCATCAATGTAGCGTAGAGAGAGAAGGGGCGTGAATAGACGAGAGCTGAGGAAGCATTGTTCCAGGTCAGCCATACAAATATTGGCATATTGTGGGGCCATGCGCGTGCCCATAGCGGTGCCACTGGTCTGGAGGTATATATTGTCACCAAATCTGAAATAGTTGTGTGTGAGGATAAAGTCACCGTGCTCAGCCACCAGTTGTGCTGTGGCATCAGGGATACTGTTCCTGACAGCTTGTATTTCATCTGTGTGGGATGTTGGTGTAAAGAGCCTCTACACCCATGGTGGCTAGGATGGTGTTTTCTGGCAGATCACCAATGCATTGTAGTTTTCTGAGGAAATCAGTGGTGTCACGGAGATAGCTGGGAGTGCTGGTGGCGTAGGTCTGAGTGGAGAGTCCACATATCCAGACAGTCCTGCAGTGAGAGTGCCAATGCCCGAGATGATGGGGCGTCCAGGATTTCCAGGTTTGTGGATCTTGGGTAGTAGGTAGTATAACCCCAGTCAGGGCTCCAAGGGTATGTTGATTTGTTCCTGTGCTTGTGTGGGGAGTGTCCTGAGCAGATGATGCAGTTTCTGGTACCCGTTCATCTAGCTCTTCTATGATTGTTATTTCAGCACTGGGCCTGGTCTGTGACTCCCAAGGTCATTCATTGATGTGCTGCTTGTACAGTACAGTACTGATTGTAATGAGTGTGCTTTAGTTAGCAGTCTGTCCTGGAGTCTTTCAGGGCCCTTGGCTGTGTGCCATGCTGTGCTAGGGACTTGTCACTCTGCCTAGCAGAATGTGTTCAAGTTTTTCTGTCCTGGACTGTTTGCTCCTGTAAGTCCCTCTTAACCTTCCTTATTCACAACTTGCCTTTGGGCCTCTGTTTGCTTGTTCTGAGCTGAATTTGACCCAACCACAGTAGAGGTGGGGCTCCGGGGCTCAAACAGAGAACCAAGGACTCCCCGGCATGCGAGTGCGGCTCCCCACGACAGCCCACTGAACAATCGCTGCCCGATTTATAAATACGAAGGGGGCGGCTCTGCAGCACATCCTGCTGCTCCCGAGGGAGCCGTTTGGCTGCATCCATCCCAGGTGACACTGCAGTTGCTGCTCGACAGCAGCTGTGGGGAAAAAAGAGGAGGAAGATGATTTAATGGTGTTGGGGATGCTCGACTTTTGGAGAGGTTCTCTGGCAAAATGAGGGCTTGATCACTTGTGATGAGCAGCAGTCTTGGCTCTTGCCAGTGGTAGAGCTGGCTAAATTCCAGCCCTGGGAATTCCATTTGGTCTACTTGCGGAGTTTCAGCTTCCCAGTGTCATCTTTCTGCCCTGTGCTGCTGCTCAGTTGGGTTCTGAGACCTGGGTGAGCTCTCCAGAGGGGTCTGCGCTCTGTGGTGGGGGAAGCAGACTTTGAAAAGCTCCTGTATCGGTTGGACGCTGGCAGGGCACTTTGAGACCAAATCTGTGTGAGACGTACAGTCAGGTAGTGGAACTGAAATGAATTCTCTTCCAGGCAAGGCTGCTTGGCTCCACACTTTGCCTGGAGAATTTACTTTCAAACTCTTCTTCTCTGCTGTAATGCCCTGGCTTGACTCTAAATCGATGCTCCTGAGCAGCCGGACTGTGCAGCGTATTTCCTCTGTTCCCGTGAGACAGGCAGCCTACCAGCATTTGACTTTTTCTTTAGTAGCAATGAAATGAATTCTCTTCCAGGCAAGGCTGCTTGGCTCCACACTTTGCCTGGAGAATTTACTTTCAAACTCTTCTTCTCTGCTGTAATGCCCTGGCTTGACTCTAAATCGATGCTCCTGAGCAGCCGGACTGTGCAGCGTATTTCCTCTGTTCCCGTGAGACAGGCAGCCTACCAGCATTTGACTTTTTCTTTAGTAGCAAAAG